AAGGTCGAAGCAGTTGTAAACAATAACAATATGCATAAAATAAAACAAAAAGTAACGATGAAGGAAGGCAAAGTGTGACTGTAGAGCAGTGTGAGCAATTGCAGTGGATTAAATGGAAATCTGGAATTGGTTTCCCTAAAGTCGAAGTGAACAAAACACTAAAGTCTGAAATCATCGGCGATCTTGCTCAAGTTAGTGACAGTAGTGGTGTAAGTTGCTATAGCCATCTTCTTCTTCTTACGAAACTTTTTCATCTTCAGTTTCAACGATACTCAATTAAGCCGAAAGCCTGTAGAGGAGTGTTGATGGCTGCAGTAGAAGAGTATAGAGAGTCAAAGTAGGTAAATCGGATGAGCGAGTGTTCGGTTGAATTGTCAACAGAACAGTACTGCAATTGGGTGCTACGGCGCTGTTGCGTTAGCCTTGGTAAAGTTGGGGGAAAGTGACGGCCTCTGGGTAAATTGGCCAATGCACGTACTGCTGCACAGGTGTTGAAGAGTAGAGAAGGGAGAAAGAGTTCAAATTAATGACAAAAAATGTCACACCAGACAACACAATGAGCTTACTTGGTGAGTGTGGTGAGTGCCTTCAGTGCTGATGACAGTAAACAGCTTCCTTGATGTGCAGTCAATGCAGATCAGCTTAGATCAGGTAGATCTGTGGCGAAGACGGTGAAAATGGTTAGCAAAAGTGGGACACATCTACATCAATGTGCTGCACAGCATTCTCTGACTTGGTCGAAGACAAAGCCAATTGCAGCAATCACGGGCAAACGGTGCGGGCAGCAGCAGCAGCAGCGGCACCAGCAGCGGACGATTGAACAGACGAGTGCGACTTGAGACGTTTCGAGCAGTGCGAGCAGCAACAGTCGAAGAGCAACATTTCCATTCAAGTTCGTAATGCACAGAGAGGGATAGCGAGGAGGCAGAGAGAAAGACAGCAGCTGCTGTTCCTTCACTTTCACCCTGGCACTTCGGCAGTTGTACAACACACACTTCGGTAGTGTCGGTAGGGCACGAGCCAAGGCATCGCACGCAAGCAAAGCACACACACCAGAATCATCTTCTCGCCATCACACACACACACCGTTCTGCAGCTGCTCACAACTCAGCCAGTGACTGGAAATAGAATTGGCTCTTGCCTGCCCGACAAAGATACAGCAGCACCGGAGACGGCAATGTAGGTTTGTGGGTGAGTGGGACCCTGATGAATTGTCAGCCTGACAATTACCGAATCCTCCACTGCGATAAACACTTCAGTTCGGGAGTTACCCGTGCGACAGTGCCAGATTGCAGCCACCGCTACAGCTGCAGCAGCAACAGCCGCCACAGTGTTGCCCTTGTCAGCGACGACTGCGGGAGAAAATCTTCCACCATTGTAGTAAACCTTCGCATTGCTTTTTTTAAGAAACTTTCCTTTGTGTATAAGCTACACAACTGATTTGTACAACTCGACCAACAGTCTGTAAGGTACGCCAGCAGCAGGCACCCCTCTACCTTTCTATTTATTTCTATACCAAGGACAAGGCGAATAGAGAGAAAACGCAAAACAGTTCTGGAAAGTACCAGGCGCCAGGGTGAGGGCCACCACTGCCACAGCCATTGCCTGTGCCGATGAGCGTGATACAATCAGCACCTAATCGAGCACGGCAATACCTCTGCGTAATGAGCAGCTAGTAGACGACAGCAGCTGCTGAACGGTCTCGTAAGCGGATCTCTAAGCGTACATGTATAGCTGCAAATTAATAAGAGTGCACGACACGTGTGTGAGATGATCAACAGACGCCTCCAGCGTGAGGGAATCTGCGCTCAGGATGAGCGAGAGAGAGCGTGTGTATACACAACGGGCAGGCGAATTAGCGGATTTGTTTAGAGGTTTATAAAACGGCAGGAGAAGGAAAACCATAGGGACTGAAAAGGCACTGAAGCGGCTTACCGATATGCAAGACTCGAAGTAATAAGAGTGATCCACGTGGATGAGTGTTGTAAATCAAAATATGAGATGATCGTTTTAGTGTGTGTGAGTGAGTGAGTGTGCGGCAGGCAGTGAGCAGCAACCTGTTAATTGATGGGCACTAGGCACAAGTTTGTTTGCTGTTGTTGATGTCCCGCTCAAAGTGTCATCGGCAATCGTTTGCCAATTGCCACTATCGGTACGGTGGGCTCTTTAGCGAGCGCAATTTGGCGATCAACACTGATAAGGACCAGTAGAGAGCGAGCGAGAGAGAGGATGTTCCATTCGATGCAGGCGATGGCAACCAGAGGAGTAGAGGCGGCAGTGGCGAGCAGGGAGCATGAGAGAATGACATAGACGGAGACGGTGCTCGAGTAGAGTGAGAAAGTACCGTCGTCCGTGTGCCTCCTCACGCGGCTGTTGCTGCTGCTGCTAGTGGTGGTGGCTGCTGGCCGAGCTGATCAGTAACTGCCTTGGTCCATCTGCCGTACAACTTTGGAAATAGTATCAGTGCGAACCTTGGCCGCACGTAGGAAACGTGGCGTCCACCGGTGCAGAGTGCCAGCGAAAGAGTTTCTCCGTTCTCTCCACTCGGTTTGCCCAAAGACAGCAGTTACGCAGACAGGGATCCTTGTGCGTGTTTCGAGAGTTGCTGCCGCCGTCGCCGCTGCTCATGCGGCTGCCTGTTGAGCAGAACAACAAACATACAGAGGAAGAGACACTTGCAGCAGAGGCAGAGCGACTGCAGGAGCAGTGAAATGCCAAGCGTCAGTACGCCTGCCACCAACCACTCTCCGCAAAGGCATCATCCTTGACTTTTTGATCATCATCAAGCTACTGAAGAACGGCATAAGTAGAAGTGAAACGACACCTTAGATCAGCGCGCACACATTCAAGGGACAAACAGGCCAGCATCTGCATTTGCAAAGGAAGAGAATCGAGCAGTCAGTTCGATCAGGGGTGAAAGGTAGTGAACACCGTTAGCTGAAATTCGAGAGGCTAGAAAACCGTAAACTAGGCAAAAGTCGTAATAACACTGCTATCCGCTTCACTGTGATTTCTTTGAAGCAACAAAGTAAATCACTCGCCCAAGAAATGAAGCACCTACTGCAGAGCCTGGTGACGAGCAAAATGATATGCAAAACTTTGCTACGAAAACGTGCAACTAATTAGAGCTAATCAATCGCCTGCTCACCTGCAATCAATCAGTCGAAGTAGTTTTTCTAGCAGAGAAAGTTTTCAGCATTTAGCAAATCGCAGAAAAAATACTGCAAAAGAAGAAAATGGCGACCTTATGAATAAATAAAACAGCACAAACATGCAAACAAATGTCTGTCTAAAAATAGAAATTGAAGAACTGGGTAAAAACGTGGTCAGAGAGCTTACCTTTTGAGTCATGAGAGAAGATAGTAGATGAATTGCAATTGATGATTTGAATCTAAACAAAACTGAGCTGTTAAAGTGGAGATTCCGCTTTTGGAAACTTTTGCAGCCTTGATCTCGAAACAGTCAATTCAATTCACCCGAGTTATGGCTTGATGGTTGCCAAGGCGATTGTTAAAGTGCTCACTCTTTGCTGAACTGTCTTGGTGTTGCTTCACTTTTCCTCATTGGTCAGCATATTTTCGACAACTGCCACTTCTTCTTTTAGCTCTTTTCAGAGTGTGTCAGAGCTTCTAAAGCTTGGATGCAGTTGTGTTGAGGTTGGTGTACAATATTGTGTTGCACAATATCTTATCAATCTAAGTGCTCAACAGTGTACGATTCAAATGATATCAAAATGTCTTTGCTGCTGAGATAAGCCAGCACTTCGGACAGGCAAACTGCTTGCTGCCAACGGTAAAGTGCAAAAGTGTGGAGCTGTCTAAAAAGTGAGCACATTTTCAGTGAATTATTTCCTTATCACCATCTGATCATTGCTTACATGTAGTGGAACCTTGATTTCCCAATCAGGAAAAGGTAGCGACCGGTGCTTTGTTGACCGGACAGGTGGGCCAAGGTGACGTGGACCACCTTTGATAAAGCGTTATTGCGCTGGAGATTTGAGAAGCGCCCAATTCACGGTCAGGGAGAATAGAAGGGAGCGAATGAAGCGATCAATAAAACGCTGGTGGTGGTGGTGGTGCTGGCGACGGTGAAAGTAAGTCAAGTGCGAACAGCGCAAAAGCGATCAACCACTCACAGACACAAACAAATGCTGCTGCTGCTGCCTCCGCGGTTGAGTTTGGTCTGGTAAAAGAGGTCGTCCAAGTATGTGTTACTTTCTGAATCGGATGCACAAGAGCACAAGGGCAGAAGGGAACTTACCTTAGGGCCCAGAGGGACAGAGCACCAGGTGCTGAAAGTGATGGCCGGCCAGGAGGCGATGGGTTACTTTGCAATTTGGGTCAAATGAGTGCCTCGGCGAAGAAGTGGAAGCAATGGCGTAAGTGAGCAGTAGCAGTGCACGAGTTTGACGAGCAACTGTACTTGTTAACTGGTGTTGGTGTTGCGTGTCCGCCGCTTCTCATTCAGACGGTGCACCAAAAGGGGCTCCGGTGCTGCTGCAGTCGTCTGCACACTCGGAACTTCAAAAAGCTTCAAAAAGGTTCCAAAACACCTTTTCAGATTGGCTTTCGCTGGCTGAAGATAACAAGTCTTTTTCTCTCTCGTTCGCCGTCTGTCTGTCTGTCTGTGTCGTCGCTGGCCAGTTAAATGCTACAGCGCACAGACAATATTATTGCCGTCTGTTTAGGAAGAACGGGAGAGAGAGAGAGACTTGTTTGCGTTACATTGGAGTACTCTAACTGGAGTGAGGAAGACGAGCGAAGGCGGCAGCTTTCACCGTACTCGTGCCGGCAAAATCAGAATCCACGCTTACTGTAGTTTTACGGACTCTGCGCAAGGAACTGCAGCTGCTGCTGCTTCAGCACTACTGCAAGCGCTCACGCATACGCTGCTCGTGTTGACAATTGCCAATTTGTGCTCTCGCTAGCTGATACCGGTCCGGTGCTGGTCATTCTCGCCTTCCAATTCGCTTGTTTACACCCGAATCCTCAACACACACCATGAACGATCGAGGTAAGTGGTTGTGGCTCAAAGTGAGCGTCCTTGCCTAAACGCTAACTCATTCATTCCATTCTTGTGTCCAAAACAGAAAACTCGCTGTCCCTCAGCTGGTGTGACCGCACTTGGTTGCCCATTCTGAATCTCACAAACGTACTCAACTACTTTGCCGAACGGACGAATCCATTCTACGACCACACGTGCAACAATGAAATTCTTCGAATGCGTGGCATCAAGATTGACGCTCTGCCTGAGCTGGAGAAAATGCAAGGCACCGAGTACGTGCTGCTGCACGTTCAGGAGCCGATTCTCTATGTGATTCGCAAGCAGAAGCGACTTTCACCCACTGCCACCACTCCTCTGGCCAACTACTACATCATTGCGGGAATCGTGTACCAGGCACCTGACCTCCAGTCGATCATTCAATCCAAAATGCTCACCACTATTCACTGCCTTCAGAGTGCATTCGAAGAATGCTTCCAGTACGTCAGGTTTCACCCGTCCACCGATTACTACTGGAACTTTTCCAAAGAAGGCTCCCTCTCAACCTCTCCAAACAATGCAGGCGAAGATCGGTCTGCAAAGGATGGTTCCAAATCTAGCAGCAAAGAAGAAATTAGCAAGAAAAAGGATATCTCAATCGCCGAGGCAAGCGACCAGGCGAGACACATGTATCGCGTTGATGTGCTCATTCACGAACTAGTGAAGAAGTTTCCGCCTAAAATTGCAAGCGCAACAAACGGAGAACAACAGTCCAATGGCGCAAGTGGCGGCGGAGGAGGTAGTGCTGACAATGCCGAGAACTCAAACCCCAATATAAAAGAGGAACCGACTGACGATCAAAATGGAATAGAAGCCGGCAATGGTCCCACTGAAGACGATCAAAAAGCACAAAAAAGAGCAAACACAAACCACAGCAGCAGCAACAGCAACAACAATAGCAGCAGTAATCAGCTAACTCCACCTGCAAAGCGACACAAAATGGGCTAAAGTAACCGGCTGTAGAGGAGTTCAGTTTTACTAATTAAATTGCATTTTATATTTAGTTTCGAAATGGGCATTCAGTTTTGCCGTCATCGATTGCATTAAGTTGACAACAGTTTTGTACCAATAATAACATTAAAATTCAGTCTTCTCAACTAAGCTCGATTGAGCTTGAGTTTTCCGTTTTCAACTGAAAGTTAGACTTCTTCACCCTGTGTTTTATGATATTTGAGATGTTGTTGAATTATTTCTGCATTGGAAAATTGCTTATGGCACAGATTGCACTTGAATGAGTCGGCATGATCTTTTTCACAGTGGCTTTTCATAGAATCTTCGTTTCTAAATGACAACTTGCATCCATAAACGCGACATTTAACCAGGTTCTGATCAGGATTATGAGTAGGAGCAAGCATCAAAGAAGCTGGTGCGTTCTCACCTTGATTTGAATTTGTTTTCGTTGGAATAACCTTAACATGTAGAGTATTTGGATTGTTGTTCTTTGACGGCACTGTTTGGGCTGGGAACGGGATTTCAGAAGGCAAGATGACGTTTTTTGGCCTTTTGTTGAGATCATTGGGAAGTTGAGAAGTGCTTTCGTTGGGAGGAATATTGGACACTATGTATAAAGGTTGATTGATTAGTGTGAATCAAGTAAAATTAAAGATGAAACTTACACATTCTTTTAGTAGCTTTCGTTGCTGGAAAAAATGTACCACCTAAATAAGGATTTACAATTGGTGAATTAAATTGAGGCAGAAAGAAAGGATTAATAACTGGTCCAAAGTTGGGTTGGGTTGCATTTGAGTTGCAATTGACATTCACAAACGAGTCAGTATTTGAGAACTTCATTTGAGTGTTCACGAATGGTGGTTCCGTTTTATCATGTAATGGCTGCTTGTGTATCACAGGAACAGTCTTTTGGGGAACTTCTTGTAAGTTAGCTGCACAATGAAGATTGTTCTGACTTTTAGTTTCAACTGGTTTTGGTGATAGCTCCTTAACTGGAATGGCGGATTNAGAGAATTTCATTTGAGTGTTCACGAATGGTGGTTCCGTTTTATCATGTAATGGCTGCTTGGGTATCACAGGAACAGTCTTTTGGGGAACTTCTTGTAAGTTAGCTGCACAATGAAGATTGTTCTGACTTTTAGTTTCAACTGGTTTTGGTGATAGCTCCTTAACTGGAATGGCGGATTCCGACTGAGCCAAAGTTTGTTCTTTTTTTCCTTCAGAAACAGACAAACTGATTGGCTTTGCAAGTTTAGGAATGCTAGGCTTGTTCAGAGAACACACGAAGCATTCTGTCTCGTCGCATTTCCTCAAATGGTGCTCATCAATGCCTTCAATTTTCGAAAGATGCTCATTAAAGATTTTACGGTAAACCTAGATACAAAGTTGAAAGGCTAGTTAGAACTGAGTTAATTAGAAATAGAAACAGAAAACCAACCTTGTACTTTAGGTGAGCTCCTTGGAAGTGCGGGTAATACTTTTTAATCGAATCATTTGCAGTGACAGTGTCTTTGGTATCGAAGATCTTCTGGAGGATGCGCTTGAACTCCAGGCATTGAGACACCGTTTGTCTCAACTGAATCACCTCCGAGTACAGCTCTTCAGAAGTTCGCATGATGTTTTTTAAAGGAGAAATAGAACAAAAAAGATATCAGTCATAGCCTGAACACACACATCAGCACAACTAATCTGGTGACTGAACAAAAAAAAGTTGGCCTTCTAAAAAGCAGTGCTGCCCCCTAAACAGACAGATGGCTTAGATATCTCAAAAGAAACAGTAAATCATGCAAGCTTTATTGATAAAATGGCGTTCAGCAAAATAATACAAAATACGAAATATATACAAAGAGTTAAAGAAACTAGCTGCAATGTTTGCAGTCGACGATTGAATAAAAATCAACGTTGTTCTGCCACCAAGGTAGAGAAGTGCTCGGCATTTGGACTAACACTCTAACTGTTCTGAACTCCCGGTGGGTTGTGGATGAGTAGGTGACGGTAAAGGTTCGGCTTATCCAAGTACAAATTGGGGCAGTGGGAGCACTTGAAAATCATACTATGGGTCTGGTAGTGATTAACAGCATCAGAAAGGGACTCAAAGGTCAGGTCACAGTCATCCGCTCTGCAGTTGAAAGTTCGGACATTACTGTTTTCATACTCCTCTTCATCCTCATATTCTTCTTCTTCATTTATACTGCTAGCGTCCTCACCAAACGTCTCCTCATCTGCCATATTATCTTCCGTAAATTCCATTTCTGCAGTGGTCTCGTTCTCTGCCAAAGACTGCTCTACACTATTTTCCTCGGTTGAGCCATCATCTGAACGGAGTCGTTTGTCTGGTGGCGGACCACATTCTAGCAGAGAACTGGCGGTTGAATCATCAGTATTGTTTAAGTTGACGTCTGTTGCAATGTTCTCACTATCAGTATCCATCGGCAAAACGTGTTCTGCGTCCACTGAGGTCTCTGCTGTTGGCGCGTCTGTGTTGACACCACTGTTTGTTGTCTCTTCCTCAACGGTGTCAGAAAGTTCCGCTTTAATTAAAGCTGCCTTTGGAGGATCATTATTTGAAACCTGATCCTCGTCATTTACAGCATCATTTTCATTGGAAGCACCAACTTCTAAACTTTTAGAACTTTCCGGTTCCACAAACTCCGCTTGAGCAAGGTCCAGAGTCAACACTTCCTCAGAACTAGCGACAGCCGGCTGTGGGTCGGTATAACTGTGGGTTCCATTGCTTAACTTCGGTTTCATTCCTTGAAAGAAGGAGGTCGTCTTTTTACCCTTGGGTGGAGATCCCGGTCCTTCGTCGTACGTAGGAGCAGCTTTACCGTATTCAGATCTCGTTACGTGGCAGGTTGGTAGATTACATTCAGCATTAAAGCAATTAGTCAGTTTTGAGCCGTCAAGATTGAAAATACTTTTTTTAAGATGATCACCGAATGCCTTGCGGATAGTTAGGAACTTTTCATTATTTTTTGAGTAATGTTGATTATATTTGGCTGTGTCTGATTTTATTTCAAAATCTTCCAGCATAGTTTGAACCATGCGTTTGTATTCTAAGGTAATTTCCAGTGTCTTCTTTATTGTTTGGTGTTCCGCCTTCATTATCTCGTGTTCCGCCTTCATTATCTCATGTTCCGCCTTCATTATATCGTGTTTCGCCTTCATTATCTCGTTTTCCGCCTTCAATCTCTCGTTTTCCGCCTTCAATCTCTCGTTTTCCGCCTTTATCTCTTCCCGAGTCAAATTTTCAAAATCACCTTCTGTCCCTCTAGTGATCTCAGTAACGATTGACGGGCCTTTAGATGAAGTCATTTTGCTGGCAAGTTTCAAGCAATGACACAATGCTGGAGTTAAAGCTGGGGCTAACGGTATTTTTGATGATCTGGCTCTGAAGACGATCAAAAGGCACAAAAAAGAGCAAACACAAACCACCGCTGGCTAAGAAGTCGTTTCTTTTCGAGATATTTGACAACACAAAAAGGTGAAGAGATTCCCACGTGAATGGTGTGGAAATAGCGTCCGCTGAACGACTGAAGTGTTCGTAGTCACCGAATAAAGATTTTTCAAATCAATTTTGGCAAAGTAAAGGATTTATTGAAAAAATTAGTTTATCAGACAAAAGTGGTGTACTGTGACATGAAAAGGGTCTTGAAAAAACAAAAGAAGTAACGTGAAATAAAGTTCAGAATGAAATAGTTTAACAAAAAAGAAGAAATGAAAGGAAAACTGGCTGAATGTACAGTGGTGGAAGTAAAGGTCTGTGCCGCGTGGAATTGTTCCACCTGAACGAGGGTAGAAAGGTAGCAATTGTAGAAGTAGAAGAAAAAAGAGTAAGGAGTAAAGAGAAGATAAGAATAAAGTCGTAATTAAGTCAATCATAAGTTTCAAGTAGAGGAAAAGCGCTGATGGCGACTGGCACAACAGTCACGTTCACTAGGTCAACACAACAGTGGGCAACAAGGCCAGGTAACAACGGTAAAAGAAGATAACAACAAAGTGATAAGGACATGAGTCTAGGGTCAATTGTAGTTGATTTAAGAAATGGAAATGCTTCGAGTCAGACTGGTTCAGTTTAGAGGTACGCCCTCATTGAGCTGATGCTCCTCCTGCTGCTGCTGCTGTTGCTGCATTTGCTGTTGATGAAGGTGACTGTGGTGATTTTGCAAACTGAGGGTCCCTGGAAGTAGGTGAACGACCCCTGCCCCAACTGTGTTGACTATGCCGCCAATGGCGCCGTTGTAGTTGGTCGCAGTCATCAGTGGTATCTGGTCAGCGTCAGCAATGGGCTCCAGCTTGATGACCTTTTTCTCGTGGANTCCTGGAAGTAGGTGAACGACCCCTGCCCCAACTGTGTTGACTATGCCGCCAATGGCGCCGTTGTAGCTGGTCGCAGTCATCAGTGGTATCTGGTCAGCGTCAGCAATGGGCTCCAGCTTGATGACCTTTTTCTCGTGGATGGCAATGTGCTTGCGTAAGTTGCCCGGCAGGTTACAGCGGTAATTACAGCCTGGCCAAGTGCACACTTGCTTCCGCTCGTTCTTGTGCATCAGCAGGTGGTCGTACAGTCCAGAGCGCGTCTTGAAGGACTTGCCACAGTCGGGCCAGCTGCAGGAGAAGAGTCGCTCTCCGGTGTGACGGGTCATGTGCTTTCGCAGCAGGTCCTGCCGATGTGAGGTGTACTCGCAGGCGGGCCACTCGCACCGGTGCACCGGGGCCTGGTTAGTGTGAAGTCGCATGTGCTTTTTCAGCGAGTATATCCACGAGTAGATTGCATTGCAGCCAGTGAAGGGACACTTGTACTGCTGACCCTGGTGCATGATTTCGTGCATCTTCAGTGCGTATATTTGCTTGAAGGACTTCTCGCAGTTCTCATTGCGGCACTTGAATGGACGCTCAGTGCTGTGCTTCACCTTGTGCAGCTCCAGCGCCGACCGGTACGGGGCTGTGTACTCACAGCCCTCAAAGTCACAGCGAAAGACAGACTCACCGGAGAGACTGGACTTTCGGCGCTTCCGCTTGCTACTTGGCTCTGACTGTGCAGCGCTGGAGGATTCGGTGCGACGTTTGCGACCTCGTTTTGGAGTGGTGCTCACTTCATCGCTTAGAACCTCGGTTTTCACTTCGACGTGCTGCAGAAGATGCTTAATCAAGTTATCTTTGAATTTGTACGCCTTGCGACAGGATACCATTGGACACTGGAAGTGGCCTTTCTCACTTTTCGGTTTACGAGATTTGGCAGCTGGCTTAACAGCTTTTTTCTTTACTGCTTTCTTTCTCAGTAACCACTTTTTCTTTTTTGTTTTCTTCTGTTTGTTTGCTTTCATTCTAGTGGCCATTGTGACAGAGCCAACAGTGGTTCCTTTGCTTGAAGTGGCTTCCACAGAGGACTCAAATTCAGGAATAGTTTCACTAGCAACAGTTTCAAATTTTTCAATAGGCTCAATGTTTGAACTTGGTTTCTGAAAAACAGCCTGCTGAAACTTTTCCCGTTCTGCAATTTCAAGTGCATAAAGGTTTTTGTGATAATCGTCGTCTTCCGCTTTTTCGCCTATTACATGGCAATTTTCAAACAAATTGTACAGCACATTGTACAGACTAGAGACAGTATCTTCTCGACTCAGTTTGGAGCATTTTCTGCGAAAGTACCGGAGACTGCGATCAAAGTTTTGGTGATGTATTTGAAATTCAACGTCGTACACTTGATGATAAAAGGTTTGTTGAAGTTGTTTGACGGTAATTTGATTGTGACTTAGCAAAGGGTCGTGCTGCGAAAAAGAGGCCAATTCGTCGATTGGCTCGCTGGCGGTCGTCGTTACGGTATAAGTGGTTTTCTGCTTAAGAAAGTTCGAAAAGTCCTCCACATGGTCTAGGCAGCTGCGTTGAAATTGCAGTTCCCGACATAGTTTGGCAGATAGTCGCTTTAACTTGGTGAGCAGCTGAATTTGGCGCCGAAGTTCGCGCGGGTTCAGCTGCTTTAGGCGTTTGGATGTGGTGGCCATGGCGTCACCACTGTATACACTTGTCGATGATGCTCGTTGATGTCGTCGTAGTTAGCTGAAACCCAAGTGGAAAACAACAACAACAACAACAAGAGGACAAAGAGCGGTCAGCAAAGCTGGGGGTGGTAACGAGGATGATGCCGCTTCGAAGGGAATGATTCTGGTGCACGCCTACGAGGGAAGTGTTTGGTGATAAAGGAGTCTCCTGTCCATGGCCAGCACTGTCTCATCAGCTGGCACCCAAGAAAAGACACTTATCCAGGACGGAGAGTAAGAGAGGGAGAGAGAAAGAGACACAGTCGCAGAGGCAAACCGCTCCTCACAAGAGAATCCGACGCTATATCCACCTAAATAAACGCATTTTAAGAGATTTTCATTATCTTGGAAATTCTGGTAACGGACTTAATGGAGCGCCAAATCTTGATAGAATTTCATTTGTCTAAGCCCTAAATGCAATTAAACAAACCCTTTTCACAACTCTTTTAATAATTCAGTAACATTGACACTGAGCGCAAGAAAGGAAGTAGACAAATGTCTAATAATTTCTATTTGGGGTTGTAATTCAATTTTCTATTAACATTTTTTGCTTCATAAAGATTATCAATAGCTACATCATCGGCGTCTATTTGTCCTTTCGCTCCCAGAGTCCCATGTCTCGAAGGCGAGCGTTCTCCGCCTCAACATCGTAGGTTCTGTTAGATAAAAACATTCCGTTAGAATTTGGCGAATCCTGTCTCAAGTTGGCTTAACATTACCGGTAAAACTCAGCAATTTTTTCGCGACGGGCATCACGATAGAAGACCTTTGCAGCAAAAGCACCGGCGATCGAGAGCACGACGGCAAATGGGATGTGCTTTTGGAGACTGCTGATCAGCAGGTTTCGGAGCTGGGGCTTGGCGAGTGTGCCGGCCATTGTGTTGGGTGAAGTTTTCAAGAAGAATGCAAGTTTAAAGATTGCACAAACTATACCGGATGAAAAGCGGGGTAAATGAGGTGAGTGGACCAGAGAAAGGGCCAAAGACAGATCAAAACATTACTTACCAGAAAATCTCTCCTTGTCTGCGAGTAACAGAGGTGAAAAATGCGAGCAGAGTTTCGGAAGCTTTACACAAAAGTTTCCCAGTTTTGCCGTTTTTTCCAAATGACAGTGGTGCCCCCTTGACTGCTATTCTCCAAAAAATCTCTTTTATCTGATAAAAATTGTAACTTTAATCACAAGATGTTATCGAACTAACAGCTGTTGGATGACTGGAAACTGTTTTATCAGAAGAAATGATAATGCCTAAATCTAATTTATTACGTCTTCTATGGAAGGCTGTGAGCAATGTATTTTTTATTCAGCCGATGCTTTTCTTCGGGTTGACATAAAAACTCCCGTTCTGCTACAACTTCATTCTGCCACCAAATCATCAGCAAACAATGAACGCCGCTGTACAACAGGCTGATGCGGCCGAGGAGAATGCCGCAGAGCTGCAGTTTCCCAAAGAATTTGAAAACGCAGAGACACTGCTCATTTCAGAGGTGAACCTTCTGCTTCAGCACCGCATCAAGACCAATGAAACATCTGAAGATGAACAAGAATTTTCAGAAGTGTTCACCAAAACGCACAACTACACCACCCGATTCAGCAGATTCAACAACCGTGACACCATCAACACCGTGAGAACTCTGCTAAAACAGAAGAAGCTGCACAAGTATGAGCTGGCTCAGATTGCAAACCTGGCCCCGGAGACACCAGAAGAGGCGAAAGGACTGATCCCCAGTTTAGAAGGCCGATTTCAGGACGAGGAGCTCGCCGCAATGCTCGATGACATTCAGACACAACGAAGCATTCAGTACTGAACAGCAATGACAAAACTGAACACATTTTCACATCTCATGATTGTACATAGAGATCTGTTCCATTTTTATTAACATAATACACAACTGTCATCTACTGCTTTAGTAGTTCATTGCTTTCATTGGGATGCGTTGATCAGCACATAGGCCATTGTGATGAGAGTGAGACCTGAAAGAGAAACAAACCTGGTGATTAGTATACAGCTCAAATTAAAGGGCACCAAGTTGACGTACCGAGAACAGCATAGCCGCTCTTGTACAGGTCCTTGATGGCAAAGCCGTAGCCGGCATCCCAAGCCAGGTGGCGAACGCCGTTAAAGGTGTGAAAAGCAATTGAGGTACCTGTAGAAGGAGAATGAAACATTGTGGTTCACTATTTACCAAACTGAATGATAATGTGTCGCTTACCGGCTGCCACTTTGGCGGCAGTCACCAGGCTGCTGGGAAGGGCCTGAAGTTTCTGCAGAATTTGCTCAAAACTAAGATTGCTGTAGCACAGTTCGGCAATGCCAATGCCGTACAGAAGAACTCCAAGTCCGAGACCGGTAATTCGGTGGGTGATGGAGAGGACAGAGGTGATTTGAAACTTGTACGCAAACGGAAACATGTACGGGCTCATAGGGCTGGCTCGTTTAGCGTGGCGCTCAAAGAACTTGCTTGCTTCCTGCTGAAGTGTCGATGAGCCAGACTGGCGAGTCTGAGCAATCAGTCGGCCCGTCCGGGTGGCCAGGCCGTTTCGGCAGACCACAAATCGGCTTCCGATCATCAACAGTTGAGACATCTTCGAATGGGAGCTGGGAATTCAGAAATCAAAAGCAAAGTATTTTGGCCAGCTGGAAAATGAAAACAACAACCCTGGTTTGACCTCGTGTTTAGAAAAGAAACTGCGGCGCCACTGTCGCTGTTCACAGATGGAACCACTGCTTTGTAAACAGTGAAAAAAGTTGAAGAAGTTTCGGTTTGAAGTTTTCTTGTTGGACTTTCATCTTTATCTCATTAAAGATGTTGCCGCTCCTAATGGCAGTTGCCGTCGTGATTTGCGGAATGATCATCGCCTTCCTCATTTACATCGGCCGCCGACCAATCAAGCCAAAGATGGTGATGGCCGTCATCGGCAGCGGCGGACACACGGCGGAGATGTTGACACTTGTCAAGTCGCTGACAGATAGCACCGACACGACCAAGCTGAACATTGGAGAGACAATGATCGAGGAGATCATCTTTGTGGCCTCCAACAGTGACCAGTTAAGCCTACAGAAGCTACACGAACAGTACCCACAGCTGGGTGATCCTCAGCGGCAACAGCCTCCATTCACCTATCGCCTGCTGACCATCACCCGAAGCCGATCGGTCCACCAGAGCTACTTCACTTCCGTCTTCACCACTCTGGTGTCCCTCTTGGACTCCTTCAAGTTGATCTTCTCACTACGTCCTCAAATGCTCCTCTGCAACGGACCTGGTGTTTGCATTCCGCTCGTCTTTGCGGCTCGCCTTCTCTCACCCAACTCACTGGTCATCTTTGTGGAAAGCTTCTGTCGGACGCAGACACTTTCACTGAGCGGCAAAATTATTTACCACCTCCGACTAGCGGATCACTTTCTGGTTCAGTGGCCCAAGCTGGTGGAGCAGTACGATAGAGCCAGCTACCTTGGCGGTACGCTCGTCTAGTCTAGTAAACGCAAAGCAACATGCATGTGTTCTTTATTCCAATGATGTCCCCAACATATACCATTTGTACAAATGATAACCCCAAAAAAATTAAACCATATCATTTGCGATTTTTAGCACTTGCGGCCAGTACTTGTTCAAAGTCCTCAAGTCGCACTTTGATTCGGTACTGTTCCCTGTCCTCTTCCACTGAATTCTCTTCATTCTCACTGGTCAAATCGTCGGCTTCAACACCAGCACCACCGCTCTTCCGTCTTTGCTCTTCCACCTCTTCAATTGTTCGCCTGAGGGCATTGAACATTGCACCAGAGCAGAGCGAGTAAAAGTCGGCGCCTGACATGACCGGAGGGCTGGCCTGCTCGATCTGGCGCAGAATGTCCTCCGAAGTCTGGTCGGCAAACTCGAATCGCTTCGTGAGCGCCCTAAGAATGGCCAGTCTGGACAACTGGTCAGTTGCTATTGGCACTTGCAGACACTTATCAAACCGTCCTGGCCGTAGTAGTGCACTGTCGATGAGGTCTATTCGATTGGTAGCGCCAATGACAAAGACCATCGACTCTTCGGCAGGACTGCCCGACCACTTTTTAGCACTGTCTTTTGGCCCACCGCTGCTGATGCCATCCAGTTCAGTGAGCAGCTGCGAAACGACACGGTCCATGACGCCGCCCGAGTCGCCTGATTTACCTCGGGCAGGTGCCAGAGAATCGAGTTCGTCAAAGAAGATGATAGAGGGAGAAGACCGTCGCGCCTGAGCAAATAGGTTGCGCACATTTTCTTCACTCTGTCCGACGTACTTGTTGATCAGCTCTGGACCTTTGACGGAGATAAAGTTGAGCGAACACTGGGCTGCGACTGCTTTTGCTAGCAGTGTTTTGCCCGTACCAGGTGGACCATGCAGCAAAACGCCCGATCGCCGAATGCCCAGTGCTGAGAAGCGAAGTCCAAGTTTAAGTGGCATCTCAATCGTCTCCAGGATGTCTTGCTTCACATCTTCCAGACCACCAATATCAGACCAGGACACATTGGGCACCTGCAGCGTTCCACAGCCAAGGTCCAGGTTCTGCTCTCTAAAGGTGTCCACGCTTTCTTTGAGTGTATCGCAGAAGGCACTGAATGATGCTTCTGTCGATTCATCATCGTCCCTGGTAGTGGGCAGCTGTTTGACAGCACTGCAAACGATGGCCTCTATATGTTCAACACCAAGTCCGCTGGTCAACTTGACCAACTCGTGAAGTCGACTCAAATGCCGATCATTTAGAGAGATACTGTTAAATATTCGGTTTGTCAGCAATGTCTCCAGAACCAGTTGTCGCCCCTCCTCATTCGCTGGTTCAAGTTCCATTTTGTGTCTGAAAAGGGCAGTAAGTGGGTGAGTAGGATCTTCCTGGCGAGCAGTGGCAGCGACCAGCACTGGCCACGTCTTGCTGCCACTGCTAAACTCGTCAATTGTAGAACGAAGAAGCCCCAAGATACGGTTGTCTCGATAAATTTCAGAGCGGTAGAGAATATTCAGATCAGTAATCAGCACAATACAGGGAGCGTAGAGATTGGCTTTGGAGAAGGAGTGGCGAATTTTGGCTTCAGTCGTTTGAGGCATTTCGCAGAGCAAATCAATGGCCGATTGCTCGTAGACATTTAGATGCCAAAACTGTGCTGCACTGACTATGATTCGCTTTGCAGCGCAACCGCCACTGGGATCGCTCAATAGAAAAGTTCCAGTACGCAATGAGCTGATTCGAAGCAAGTATGGTCTGATCAAATTAGCCAATGTTGTAACCTCACCTCGAAGTGCTTCAGGTACAATGAGCAATTCTGCTGTGGGCTGATGGTGGTATTGCGAAAGCATCGATGGACAACATCCGTTGACGTTGGATGATTTAAAAAGTTTGGTTTTTGTTTTAGGTGCAAAGTAAAAGTCTTCGTTAAGGCTGACAGTAACGTCATTGATTTGACAGACTTGAAAGTAGATAACTGTACTGTGAGAATTAGAACTGCATAGCTGAAGTGAGTTATTCCACATAAAGAGAGGATCTGAACTGGCAGGTACTCCAAAGGTGTCATTGAGTCGAAGACAGCGTGCTCGATTTGCAAAGTAATTGTGGAGTATTTGATTATAATCAAAGTCATGAGGGTAGTCAGGGCAGTTGAGCAAGTTTACTTGAACACTTTTTCCGTTTTGTAGCTGTTGCTGAACGTCATCAGTTGATTCAATCTGAAAAGCAAAACTTATTAGTGCCAGCAAAACAGCATAACTACTGGTGATTTTACCACAAGTTGAGCATCAGGTTGTTCCAGAGGAAACTTCCAAAAAACCTGCTCCAGCTTGTCGCGAAGAGGCTGGTATCGAAGGTTGTGCCATAACTGTGGCGATATGTAAACACAGTTACTGTCTTCGATTAAATCATTAAAAAGCACCTGAGCAGCTCTTGGATTGGATGAAACTCCAGGAAGAGCAAGTCGTATATGCCTCCATTCACCTTCTCTTAGATCAGTTTTCGGAGAGACAATGATGCAGCTGTTGTCAATATCAAAATGACTGTCGCTTGGAAGTGTGGGACGATTTTTCAGAATCACCACTTTGAATCGGCTTTTATCTCTATTTGATGCCATTTATCAAAAAGCTTTGGCAAAAAGTATTCTTTTGTTCACGCCAAGATTTTCTTCAGTTGCACAATCAAAACAATTTGGGAAAATGCATTTTTTTGCTAGACAGTACTGACATCTGTACTCGAAGAGCCTCACTGATTTGCAAGTTCCACAATTTACTGAATTTATTTTTATGAGATTCTGTTACAAAAACTTTCATTTGTTATTTGAATTGCACAACTTTTCGATTTCACTTGCGCGAGTCTGAACTTCTCGCACGGTTTCCGAAAGCGTCTTCTTTGCACTAGCAGAGTCGTATCCGCCAATGGGGACCCAGTGATCGAAGAACTTCTTTACAAGATCGGGGTATTCCTCATGCATTTTCTCCTTATTGATCACCGATTGTTTGCCTTCTTCATTTTCCACAAGGTAAACTGAGCTGTGGTTCTGTTTGTGCGACAATTGGGCAACGATGGTTTTTGGTGTGTACACTTTATAGTCGTTGTGCGCTTCATTTACAAACTCAGCAAACGGTTTCGGTTTGGGGATTTCGCACTTTAAAGCCAACTGCCTCCAAAAAGCGTCCACTTTTTCTGGGGCATAAAAATCGGTGCTGTTCAACCAACGCCAGCTGTTTGCATCCTCAGTCACTTTGAACTGCAAATGTCCATTCTCGAAACGAAAGTCATTAATTGCCGCTACATTGGCAATTTTTGGACGATTCTGTGGGTGGTAAGGGTATTTGGTGCTAGTCTTCAGAGATGACTGGTCACTTTCTTCAGATGCCTCCATGATGATTGGGTAAACTTGGTCTGTTGACACTTCTCAGCTGGAGACAGATTTGATGTCGATTGCAACTTTGGCCATTGCCACAAGATGGCTGTGAGCGTTTCTGTCAAATGTCTGAGATAAAGATTTTATCACCGAATATCATTGCAGCGCATATGATTTACTAACGATAGTGATAAAAAACAGTTTCAACGACTTTGTTTAAATGAACAGCAGAAGAGGCAATTCTTTGAGAGTTTAAGCAAAAATGTGAATGAATTATAGCCAGTTGGTGCTTGTTTCTGAAGTTGTTGGTAAACTCAGCACTCAATGTATTTTATTTGCAAAACGGCAGTTTAGTTTATGTTCTCCTTTGAAGGGCGATAAACATGGAGCAAATGGTCATTTCCGAAGTCGATACGATTGTGGGCGCAGTGAGACAAGTGAGAAGAGGGCCATTCGCGCGACACGACATCATCCTCAAGACAGTTTCCTTTTCATAATTCATAACGAGCCATCAGCAAGAAAGAACTGCAGTTTCTGAAGAGAGAGAAAAAGAACCCCTCGGCTCGTTCTGTGATTCAGCTCGATAGTTGGCGCGATAATTTGGCCACTTAGCTCGTCCATTACCACTGACTGGCTCATTATGTGTCTGTGAGTGTCACACAATGAAAGCGGCAGCCACTGCGGACATCGAAACGGACAGAGAGACACCATTTCGAGTGGGAGTCCTCTGCTGTTGGCCACCACAGTTCCCTGCTGCCTGGCACGATAACATAATTTGCTGCATGCGATCTAGGAGAGACAGAGGCAACAAAAAGGGACATGCGGATGATTGATACTCTCTGCCAGAGAGTTAGGATGCTCTTCTCAGTGTACGTCAGTGTTCCTACTTCACCGCAAGGACACAATCGCTTCCCTCGACTCTCATCACCGATCGAACATATGCTCATTCAGTGGCCGATGAATGAGAATAGACGCAACGGTCTCGGCAAGGAAGAAGAAGAACGCTCAACCAACAGTTCTCCTTCTCAGCTACACGCGATAATCGACAATTGAAGCGACGGCAAATGTGAGATGCAAACTCGAGTGGGCGCATCGTTTTGTGCGGGTGCCAGTCTTGCTCAATCTACTCTGCTCAATGGGCATCAACTGAACAACAAACAAGTAACAGCAAAGAAAGAAAGAAGTGCCTCTCCACACTGACACCTCTTCCTGCCTCAGCTTCCACTGAATTGATCTGCTTGAGCACGCACTGAAACCATTTCCAAAAAGACGTTCATTCAGCACGAGCCGGAGAGCAGAAAAGAAGTGCAACAGCAAACATTAACATTGAAAATGTTTTTATTAATTATTTGCTGAAACCAACGAGGCAAAACGGATGATCTGGCGAGCGTGCCGTTGCTGCTTGCTTTCTCAGTATACTGAATATTTTTCTGCCGTTAGAATCCGAGTTCTGCAATGAATGGACGGCCGATGTGAATCAGTAGTCATTGCTGCTCCCATTCTCAGGACGCATCCTCTTCCCTATAGAGTGCCGAGTTGACGCTGCTGGGGCTGTGTGAACTGACAGCTATGACAAAGTGAGTAGTATACGGCCACTGTTCGCCCTTCTGTGTCGGTTGATTCACTCATTTCATTGTGAACTCGTTTTGCTTCATTCGCCTTCTCATCCTCATCGTCACCCGTTTCATTTTTTATAGTTCTCTCAGAGCATCGGCTGTAAAGCAACCTTAATGGCCGATTTATTGTCTGATCAGCAAGAGCACTAAGGAGGCACTTCCCAAGAAGTGGTAATGATGATGGTGATCATCACCATGGTAATTTGCAGCCCGCCGATGGATCTGTTGTGCAATGCACTAGCCTATGCACTTTGACGCTTTGAAGCACTTTGTCGATGGTGTGAACTCGTATTCTCCATTTGAATGCACGGAAATTGATTAGACTTATTCTTTGACAGGCTGCAAATTTTACAATTTATAGCACTGCTCAGAGATGTTCAGACCAGAGCTGGTGGTGCAGCTGACAAGACTGTGAGCACACCGAGAGCACATCTGTGTTTTTCTGAGACGATGATAACTCTTTGCTCGCTAATTGCCTAGCCGAACCTGGACCGCACTAGCGCATCGTAGATCATCACACTCGCACCGAACTGACACTGCTCACTGTACTACTTTGTACTGCACGTTCTTTCATTCTCTTCGTTGCTTCTAATGAACTGCCATAAATAATGTCGTTGGTGTGTGCTGTGAGCTGTTATTGCCGCCAATTGCTATGCAAATTGACCTCGACACAAGCCGAGTCGCACCAAATGCCACCGTCAATTTTGTCATTTCGGTGTTTTTGCTCATCACCACTAATTGTCGATCATAGAGCTGGTAATTAATGACACCCAGTTCTATGCGTTCAGAGTTTCACCAGAGCCTGTGCAAGAGCCTGCGCGGCAAGCACTCTGCGACAGAGAGAGAGAGAGAGAGAGAGAGAGAGGGAAGGCGAGCAGAAAACAAAGATAGCAATGAGAAGACGGGTGACAAATACACTTGCAATTTTACACGATTCACAGACAATTTCTTGTGATAAGTTGAGAGTCATTTTGCTTGCTTGTTATCTTCTTTTTTTCTTTTTCTGCACAGAGAGAAGACCAGTTGTTTTGCAGCTCGCTCGAGTTCCTTTGCCGCAATCGTACACGCCATCATCAATCTTAATTTCCACCCTGTAAGTGTCTGGTCCGACAGACTGCACCGACCGACCCCAAGGAACGACATAACTCGACAAGCAAGTGCATGCTTTCTCATTGCGTCTTTTCAGTGGTTTTCCTCCTTACTCACCTCCCCCTTTTCTTCTCCTGTCGCCCAACCGCAAAGAAGCAAAAGATTCATGAAAAGTGACAACTTCTAATTACTTTTCTCTTGACTGTCTGCCACGGGCAGCTAACGCCCCCAATTGACAGTATCAATTATCGATTTATCAAGTAGCAGGCAGGCTCAT